TAATGAAAAGTAAAACTAGGTAGTACTACAACAGGTATTAGAAACATTTAAAAAGTGGATTGTTGATGTCACTGTTCAGAGGTACTACTGCTGGACTACAGTGCTGTGCAGAAATTATGTTTTATGGTATTAGAGAGCAAACTATTTTCTACACAAGATCTGTCCTGCTTGCAGCTATCCTGGGTACTATCTGAATGAAAGGTACTGTCGCTGGAGTGATCAGAGACCTGATAATCTCAGGCCTTCAGATAAGTATCAGTGCCAACATAGAGAAGTGATCAGTGTCTGTGGTTACAGACACTCCTTCCTGGCAAAGGAAATATGTCTTTAGAAAATGCCTTGTTCCTTTTAATTACAGTTGTGTCAGTAGACCAAGTCTGGATTTGTTTGTAAAATACATCTGTTGAACACTATTACTTTCTTCTTTCATTGAACTGGTGAACCTCAAGGCTCCCAGGGACTAATAGTGTCAGCTACAGAACCATGCACCTTTGTTAAGTTACCTCCATCATCACCTGTCACACTTCAGCTATTGCATTTCCAAATTCCTTTTGCAGAAATTAACAGCAGCTGACTTGCTGAGACAGTAGGTTTGTAGAGTATCTAACTTTCTATATAGGCTAAAAATAACACTTCTTTTCCCATGTGGTATTAATAATTTAATCACAGGAAAGACAAGTGTTCTCCTTTGTGTTACTGGAATTTCCCATCAGTACAACACAGAATAATTCTGAAAACATTATTTCTGCAATTGTTTAAAACAATGTTTTTCATCAAGTTTTGTAAAAATATCTAACAGAACTTCCTCAGTTACATAACTTAACTGTTTTTTTTTTTTTTTAAGTTTCAGTGATGTTTTACCATTATTCTGATAAGTAGCACTAAAACATATGTGGGCTCAGATCCTATGTGACTCTCACGGTTACACTTGGTAATGCCAGGACAGACTAAATAAATGCAATAACAAAATAATCACGTGCTGAAAGCTTCAAAATATTTTCTGTCCTCCTTATAATTTCGATTTAGATTAGATTTGGGGAATACTCAACAACATTTGATGGTAAAGTCTTCCTGCGAACATTTTTAAACATTATTTGTATTAAGTGCGGTAACAGTGCCGCCAAGTGGCAATTTAGAGCAATCACGCTTTTTAGGTACTAGAAATGTTTCAAACAAAAACATTAAAAATGGAGGCCAGAAAGCTGACTTCTGACCACAGATTTTGTTGTAGGACAGAAATAAAAAATCTATAAAGTCATATTAAGGATTCTTCAGAAGAATCTATCGAGTTTATGAATTTGTATAAATTCCTTCATTATCTTTCTATTTCATCCTTAATTTTTAGGTATATTCCTGCATCTACTCCCTTCTTTGACCTACCAAAAGACAGAAATTTATGAAAATCTGGCTTTTGAAAATTTCTGAAATTGCCATGAAACAATTTCCTCTTATTCCTATTGAATGGCTAACAAAAAGTCTTTATCTAACCATGTTATAAAATCCCAGTATTTGGTTGGACTTTCTTTGCCAACTTTTATGTCTTAGAAAGATGTTTGCAATTTTATTCCTCTGGTATTTATAAACCAGTCTCCTTGCTGGCCAGTATTTATAGAGCCTGTAGGCACTCATATTTTTCATTGACCACATTGCACTTTAGTGTAACATGTATGAATTTGTGGAGATCTATCATGTTTCTTTTCAGCCCTTATTTTGGAAAGTGAAGCAAATAATTGCCATAAATCTGCTCTCTAGTAACTTATCTATTGTAGAGGATGTTCCTTGTGCTTGAAGATACTTGCTGTTCATCAGGCGTTATACATTTATAAAACTCATCCTGATGTGGACAGGTTTACGTCTCTATATATTCAGAAGGTCTATGAGATAAGTGTTCTTTTCTGTCCTTTGTAGCAAGAACTTTATAATATCATTTTAATATAGTAATACAATGGAGTAGATGAAATGCCATGTTGGAGAGAGAAGATTTTGTTGACATTGAATGCAACTTATAAATTGGTGATTATATATAGGTTAACATCTTGTACATTTTGTTGCTGCTTTACTGTGTGCTCCTGTGTTTCTGCAATCAGTAATTGCCAAGTCTGTGATTCACCTGGCCTTTTCACGCAGCTGGGAAAGCAGGAGGTTGATATTCAGCAAAAAGGTTCTTGCAGCAGCTTCAGATTCAGTCATTGCAGGTTTTGGGTTGCTCTACAGTAGATTATTCCCAAGATGCATTTAGACCAAGTGTTTTGCAATTCATAAAACATTGGAACTCACCTCCATTTTCAAGATTAATGACTCAAGTACAGCATAGCCAGGGAGCAAGGCTGAGCAGTGCACTGAATGTAGCATGTAGAGCTGCTGTCTTTGCTCTTGTGTAATAAATCAGGGAAAGGAGAAGGAAATTGAGTTACAGCCAAGAACACACTTCCATTTAGTTTCAAGACTTACACACACTGGAAATGAAAGCCACTTTGTGAGCTAAATTCAGAGCTACTCTACTTCCAGATTAGCTTATGATCTGGGAAAAAAAAAAAAAGAATGTCTTAAACATAAGAATAAATCTAAACTTGCTCAGTATTTGAAATACATGTTTGTTTTGCTGATCTAGTGCTGGAGTTGGAATAGATGGGAGGAGCAGCCTCAAGAAGGCTGTGTTATTACTTGCTTTTTTTCCTAGAAATTTCTTCATATAATCCTGACATTCCCTTTTATTGTTAATTCATCAGATATATTAGATTACAATATAAATTGCAGCAGCTTATACAGTACATTAAAAAAAACATGGAATAAGAGCAGTAAAAGCTGTAATGAACCTTTCACTTGACATATCCCTCAGATACTTTGAGGAGCTAAAAAGATGTTTTGTAGGTTGACAGGATGACAGCAGGTTGAACAATGCACTCATTGCTTTTAATTAAATGTAGTATGGTTTGTTTACACCTAAAAATAAGTTACCACCAGCATTTTCCAGGACTGGCTACAAAGCACAAGATATTGCTCTTGCTTTGTAACAGGTATAAAGCCAGGTTGATTTCACTTACTGCAAACTGCTCTTTGTACAGCTCAATCTCATAAATCCTAAACTAGGGCAGTGAAAGGCAGATTGCCTAACTATACCAGTGTCTCTGTGTATTTATGGAACAGTTTCTAGTAACAACAAATGCCAGTACTTTGACTGATACTGAAAGTTCTGAGAGATTAAAACCCCCATCCTGTGCTGCCTTCCCTGCAGCACTCACAGTTGCACAGCTGCCCAGAGAGTCAGCTCAGCTCACTGCTCTGACCAAACATTACCTTCACCAAAAGGAAATCAGTTTGCAAATTCTTCATCAAGAGAGTTTGTTCTGTATTTTCAATTATGTAATTAAGAATATGATTCTAGTTATTAGAATAAATGTGTATGCAATATCCAAAACACAGAAATGGTTTCTACTTACCTCATTAACTCACTGTAAACCTTTCCTTTTTTATTTCCTTCCCCTAACAATTCAGATATAAAGTACACCCTTATTATTTAAGACTTGAAATTCTATAAGATCAAAAATTGACATTATCCAAAAATCAATAAAGAGTAAATTTTTAGACACTTTTACACCTTTTCTTAAAAAAACCCAGTTTATCCTTAAATATGAATTTCAAGTTCTAGTTTGGAATAATATTTAACATTCAATTTTAGACAACCTTGACTTGTTGGAGGGAAATTTGGTGTGGTAAGGTCTGTCTTTTTAAGCGTTACTTAAAAAAAGGTAATACGGGATACCAAGATCATTGCCAACACTGTTATTGATTTTACCCCTTTATTCCTGGCGTAAAGATGGCAGCGCTAAATGAGGCTGTAGACCAAGCTGACATAATTTCAGAAATGCAGAAAGTTTATTGTAGATCAGAAAAAAAAACCTGGTCTGCTGATGAAAATGTTTCATGGAACTGTTGATAAGGAACAAAAATCATGGATTGACTGTGTTTTTCATATGGTAAGATGTAAGAACTTTGTTGTGAGAAACAAATTTTTTTCCCAACAATATGTTTATGGTTCACGGCATAGGATCTTTACATTCTAAAATGTACTTTACATTTCACAGATAAATAATACCTTTGAAGAACTATTTAGTAGACCATTTGGTACCATGTCATAGCAGTTGTTTACCAACATTCAAACAGATATAATTAACTATGTCTTTTGTCTAGAAAAATCAGTCAGCAAAGAAATATATCAGATTAATGCAGCATCAGCTCTTCCGTTAGCCAGGATTCCATTTTCTTCCAATAACCTCTTCTGCCCTTTACCATTATTTTTATCTTCCACTTATCTTTTAATAAGTTATCCTTGAAATTTTTACTTGAAAATTTCTGCTATGTTGAAGCCAGAATAAAGGGCCAGATAGTTACACAAATAATATTTCTTAAAGTGAATTCTTAGGTTTCTTACAATTATAGCATTTTAACAGTCCAGTTATAATATACTGAACAGTCCGATATTTTATTAAAAAGCTGAACCATCAGCCTTCCAGTTTCACACAGGAAACTGCTATTAAAAGTATTGAAATTAATTCTGTAGGAAAAGTTAATAATAAGGAAAGATACACAGTTCCATAAAATACGTAATTTGAGTGTAGATTTTTAAGTCTCTCTTCTTCCAGTCTTCATAGAAAACTATTTCTTTGTTTGTGTATTCTTATGCATGATGATGATGATGATGTCCCTGTTTGATTCACGTAACTACCTTCATGTAGATTTTGCTAAGACAGCTGAAGTTCGTCCCTGCGTAAGGAAGTCTCTCACCCTGCATAACACTGCTGTTTTCCAGCATGACTAGTCATATGCAAGAGGCTGAAATTCATAATACAAGATTATTTGTTAGATGATCAATATTTGCAGAAATATATCAATCAGGCTTCATTTAAATATAGGTATTATTATGCATCTCCAAGAAGCTGCAGTGTAACAAGTATAATACTCCTTATTTCTCTACATTTTGTTAATTTCTTTTTCCGCAGGGTGGAGTTTCAGCATGGGCTCTGCCTACCAGTTCCACAGCTGGCGAGTATTTGTGATCGTCTGTGCACTGCCCTGTGTCTCTTCTGTGGTAGCCCTGACCTTTATGCCAGAAAGCCCACGGTTTCTGCTGGAGGTATAACTTTCCAAATGGTTTTTAGATTCCAGTCAAAATCATTTCTGTATTTACATAATAACCTCTACATAACAGGCATTTAGATTGTTCAGGAACTATAGTGAGTGTCTTAATTTATATATATGTTGCACTTACATTTTGGTCTAACATTTAGGTTGGAAAACATGATGAAGCTTGGATGATACTGAAGCAAATTCACGACACAAACATGCGTGCTCGTGGTCAGCCTGAGAAAGTCTTCACAGTGAGTATTGCTTTTAAAGCTAATTACCTAACATCAGCAAACTCTCTGACTGTCAAGGTCTGGAGGGCTTCAGCAATCAGTATTAACACTCTGCATGGCAAAGACAATTATTTGCATTCTAAATATCTAAATATAAGGTATTGTGAGTTCCTACAGAAATTACTGCATATAAAATACATGTTAAGATATCAGCCTTTGGCCAGCATATTCTTGGGTATATGAATGCACAGTGTGATAATTTTATCTGGTGTAGGAAGATTCCATCTGTGTTTTATTTATCAAGTTTACTTTGCCCTTAAAGAATAACAGTAGCCACATAGAAGTCTGAATTAGTTAGCTGTTGTGTCTTACAAGCTTTGGGTTATTTTCCTCTTTTTATCAGGTAAATCAATAATTTTTAAAATGCATTTTCACTTCTGTGACGTAGTAATTTTAGATATTTAATATTCTCAAAATGTCTTGGATACTCAGTTGCATCTTTTTGAGGTCTAATGATAAGGCTGTTTTTAAAGTATTGATGTATTGTTTCAATTGGAGGAGAAATTGGCAATTAAGAAATGGGACTTTTTTATGGCATCTTCATAAAGGCTGTACACAACAATAGTGTCTTCTTGGATACAGTAGGACCAAACAGCACCTCCTTGCTTTGAAATCCAGTCTGCCTTTCCAACCTGTGCTATGCTGTGGCAGTACAGGCACTCAGCTCTCTCTCAGAGCCATGTGTGGGATACCCTTCCTCTTCTAGAGGCTTTCTTCTTACTATACTGCACATATGACTCAATTAAGAAATTCTCTTAAGACTTCTGCATTTGCAGGCAGTCTTGAGGAATGACCCTCTGACTGTATAACTTTATTCCATTGAGACTTGCCGTTTGTTCTTTTGGATGCAGTTTCCATTGCTTCCATTTAAATCTTTCCACAAAGAAGCTCAGGAACTCCTATATTTAGCTTGAAAGAAGGCTGGCTAGCACACTTATCATGTTTGATCCGCCTTTATTGGTACTCCAGTGACCTACTCCTAATCCCACCTAGTTTAATATTTTATTTTCTGATTTAATTTATGAGTAAAGGGATTTGCCTAACACCATACAGCTAGGGTGTAATTTCACAATTGGCTCTTGGTGATCTGAGCTGCTTTCAGGCAGAATATGCCTGCTCCTGGTAACTCTGAGGGTTTTTTCTACCCTTGTTGATATTCATTGGCTGATTGCACAGTCAGCCATAGCACAGACTCTGTGCCCCTTCAGTGCTGGCTTAGGCACGAGGAAAAAGCAGAAGTATGCTGGGAGAAAATGTGGGAGGAAGGATAAGTCTCTCATGTCACTTTGACGTAATTGTAATCATATCCTAAAGCAGCTGTGGAGATGAAAACAAAGCACATACCTGTTATTTCCAGTTCTTGTGAATTAACAAGTCTCTTTCTACAATTGTTAAAATGTGAGACTGAACTACTTTATTTATAGTTAGTTTTGTTAGTTTTGGTCAGCCACTAATTTTGCCAGTTTCTGTCTTGAACATTAGGAAAACTCAATTCCAGACATCAAGGAGTTGAAAGATTAGAAATACTGTACTGTATGTCAAGGTTAGACATATATAGAGCTCCCTATTTTTAGCTTGCATTAGTATGATTAGAAAATGCAATTCTATATTGTACAACATCAGCACTTCATCTTCTAAAACTCAGAAAACAGATAACTTACACATAATTTGTTTGACACATCCTTTTAGTATCTTTTTTTTTTTAAGTTAATCCTAGATATTGTGACGTTTTGTCTCAGTCATTTATTCACATACCTCTCCCAAATCTCTTTGCTAATTCAATACCATTCGATGACTTAGGCTCTACTGTTTTCCTTCACTTCATATTACTATTTGCATCAGACACGCTTTGATAGTATGTTTTCTAATTCTACAGATGATGTAACTTTTACTTTATTACTCCTATGGTTTTAGTGTGATTTCCTTTTATATATTTTCCTGTATTATATTGACTTACTCTTTTTCTAGAAGCTTTTTCTCACAAGTCATGTTTAGTCTTGTTACTCACATTATCGAAGGGATTATCTTCAAACCTTCAAAAAGATAAGTCATGCACTGACAAACAGTTGATTATGGAGTTAGAAACCCCAAAATGGAATTCTGGTTACTGAATTGATGGAGTTGACGGCCCTTCATACTTTTGAGAATCTCTCCTGAAAGCAGTGATACTAACAGAGATGGTAATAAATTGACAGTATCTTCTATCATGGCACTACCCAAGTTAAATGTTTATGTATGTGCTTAATTAACTTCCTGAGCTCTTAAAATACATATTCATTAGATCTCTTGATTTGAATAATAAAAAAACCCAAAACTGTATCCTTAAAACCAAAATTTTCTCTGCTCTTTCATTGCCATGTATTATTAATTTTTTTCCCTGCAATATTTTCCTATGAAGCAAGTTTTGATTTTGTAAAAATTTAGAATATTGCATATTTCTAGTCACTCCTTTAGAACAAAAGTGTTATTTTCATTAAAATAGGTATTCTTTATTGGTTTTTTTCTTTCATTCTTCATATACTGGTAGCTGAATTTGCATGGTCCAGATGGAATATTGTCCTGATTCAATAGGACTTTTCATATGTTAAAGAACCATCGGGCCAGGGAACTTTTGTCCCCAGTCACATTCAGTGGTCCTAGGATATACATGGTCCCCCAGTTCCTGTGTCTCTAAATGAGTCAGGTGGCCAGTATAATGAAAAGGCTGTCCCTGGGCCTACAGGAGTGGCACTGGTTTACACTGTGGGATTCAAATGGTACACCCTTTCTGCTCAGAGGTGTGGTATGTAAGGATTTCTGCATGTAGGAGACCTCAGATAATCTTGGAGGACTCAGTCTTTTGTGTAACACATTTCATAAAAGCAGTTAAGAAAAGCTTAAAATCAATGGAATGATGTGGACAGGCTTATTGGAAGAGGCACGACAAGAAGGTTACAGGCTTTTGATAAAATCATGATCTGGCAAGACAGTGAGCTGTAATACTTCAGAAATGAGGGCGGTTGTAGCTAAAACTGTTTAGTGGGCTTTTCTTTGTTCTTCTTCATGGGAGAGTCTGCTGATGCATCTGCAAAAGTGGTGGGCTCAAAACTAGAGCTTTACCATCAATATTGCTATTCCTCAATGTCCTGTAATCCACCACGATATACTGGGAGGTTGAGGGGGAGAGGTGTCCTCATTCTGTTAAGAAGAAACACAGGCTATGGCTACCTTCAGAAACTGCAGCCAAACATTGAACAGTCAGTCTCTTGGTCTTTCCTTCCTTCTATGTCAGTCCCTCTCCCCGTTTTATTAATTTTCTTTCCAATCTCTATTTGCCTTCTTTTGAAATAAACTGTGGATGAATACACTGCCTTTTGTGATATCACTATTAAACTGGGACCAAAGCAGAAGCCAAAACCAGAACCATACAATGGTATAAGTTTATCAGGTCCTGTGTCTGGAAAGACCATGTAACACATTCTTGTTCTGCTACCCAAGGGAGTGCAAGTGAAAATTACTATTATAAGCAGCATCACATTCTCCGTCACTGGTGATTCTATACTTTTTCACTTTTGATGAAGTAGATGATTGTTCATAACAGTAATAACATGTGTGGTTCCAGATCATTTCACCTCACTTTTTCTCTCTTCATTAAGTTCTCTGTTTAACACTACACAAAAAAAGAACAAATTAAAACGGTTTTTCAACAGTTTTGAATACTTCTCTTTTAATTGCTCTCTCTTTAGTCAGTAGATTTGCAGCAACGTTGTGATAGCAAGTCAGAAACAATCTGATAGCAAACTCTAAACATACTTAAGTGTTTGATGGTTTAAATCATGTTTTAAACTTTGTGCCATTAGGGGGACATACAGCAACACTCTAGAAGAGTCTGACAACAATAGCTTATTGTAGACCGAGGAAATTTATTTCCTGCATGCTTTGAAAGCAGAGCTTTTCTAATACAGTTGCATTCATAATGACCTTTGTCATTACAGTGTGCTACTATTCCTTTATATATTTAAAGCATTTTTAGTGTAGACACAGGTTTAATATCTGCCCATTTTTATAGATGGGATTTAATAAACCCTACCAGTACTCCTCTACAGGCAGTTAATGATTCAAGAAAATAAAAATATTTGTGTTCTGTTTTTATTCTAGGTTACCAGAATCAAAACACCAAAGCAGATAGATGAGCTCATAGAAATAGAGAGTGATACCGGAACTTGGTACAGGAGGTGTTTTGTAAGAATCCGCACAGAGCTGTATGGTGTAAGTAACAACATCTCCATTCACATTACCTTTCTTCTTTTCAATTAGCTTTCTGAAGTGGGAAGGATTCACTGAGCTCATGCTGTTGATACCTGCAATGCTACACTTTCCATGCAACTGAGACATTCAGGAACCAGTGTAAGGTTTTGGTTTCCTGACCCAGAAAAGATGCAGGTGAATCACAGGGGTTGGTCTCAGCTTCTAAGGAGGGAAATGCTGCCTTGGTCCTTACACAAGTGATAGCTAATAACTACATAGTTGCATTCACAAGCACTCCAAAATAAATATGTAGTGGGAACGCATATCAATATATACCTGTGGAAATAGGTTACAAATGATGAGATGAAAAATTATGAGGAAGAACTTGAGACAGCCACATTAATTACAAATGTCAAATTTGTGAATAAAGTTTGTAAATGTATGCCAATAACACCTTTATAAGAAGGTATTGTATCTGGTATGTCAAATGTTTTACCAGAAACTATGGTATCATATATATATGATTTGTTACCTTTTTTTGTAAAGCCAAAGTTATATCTTTCAATCTTGTGATGAAAATCAAAAAATTAGCTCACTGATTTATTTTTAAAAAAAATTCAAAACTGTATAACAGCTGTTAAAAATCTGACATATTAAAACTCTCCAGAACTACGATGAAGTGTTGCAAACTAAGGTTTGTCACAAAATTATTTTGCTAGGAAAAGTCATATTTTCCCTATGGAAAGAAAAAAAAATTTGGGCAAGTGTCTACTTTTATAGTTACTGACCAAAAATAGAGTAGCTGGAGACTGAAATATTATGTTGCTAAACCAGCTTTAAAGGAGTTGCATCTTCGTTGTCTCACATTCTTGTTATCTCACTTGACTAGACCCTCAGTCAGAGCACTTTCCTTATTGCATGAGGCATGTTGGGACCTCTTAGAACAGTCTGTCTGTTCTCCTTTTTTAAAGATGATCCTGCTGAGGTAGAGAAATGAGAACATCATTCTCAGTCAGCCCTGCTATAGTGCCTCTGATCTGGGGGTAGTCCCACATTTTCCTCATATAGTTCAGGTGTCAGTTTCTAGCCATGGTAGGTTATGATAGATCAAACTCTGATTGTATCACTGTTGAATCATAAAATATACTTTGCCTAAATTTAAAGTACTGTAATACTGGGAAGTGAGAAGAAAACATTTCTGAGAAGATCACTGTTTTATTGGAGATAGTGAAAAGAAGCTGTCTACACTTCAGGAAATTTTGAGGTGATCAGAGCAGGGTGAATTAATGGGAACAGTGCACACTGGTTGCAACAAAATTGGCATGAACCTGCAACATGTGCTTGCAGCTGAGAAAGTGAATCATATCCTGGCTTATATCAAAAATAAGTGTGGCCAAAGATCTGATCTGCTCTCTCTCATACCCTGAAGAGGCAAGCAAATCAGAAAAAAAAGCGTCTATGATTTAAGAAAATTGTTCAAAAAAAGATGTGAATAAATATTTTTCCTAATGATTTACAGATTTGGTTGACGTTTATGAGATGCTTCAACTACCCAGTGAAGGATAATACGATCAAACTTACAGCTGTATGGTTCACCCTGTCTTTTGGGTAAGAGTGGTTTAGCTTAAACCATTTTTGATGTTCTTGACAGACAGAAGAGTCATCTGTGTATAAATATCTGTTGCTATGATTATCTGTTTTATTTAAAGTCTTTCCACAAAATGTTATATGTGTCAGTTAGTCTATTCTTGGTTGCAAGCCTGGCTCAGAAATACCTGCTTCAGAAAACTGGCATCTTTTGGTGTGATTTCTGAACAAGTGAGATTGGTGCCTGATGTTTTTCTGTTTTTCACAGCTACTACGGCTTATCTGTCTGGTTTCCTGATGTCATTAAACATCTGCAGTCAGACGAGTATGCCTCCCGAGTCAAACACTTCCGCAATGAGGAGGTTTCACATTTCGTCTTCAACTTCACACTGGAAAATCAGATTCACAGCAATGGAGAATACATCAATGACAGGTTTAGAGATTTCCTTATATCCTGGCTTAACTGGAATAGACGGATGCATATTTTAAAACACATGCTAATCACAATTTTTACTTTTTTTCACTTTAGGCTTTAGGTAATGATGCATGGTGTTTTTGTTGCTTTTTTAGTGAGAATTTATTTCTGTTCTTGATTTCTTATGATTCATGAGAATGGGGAGGAATGGACCCGTACATGGTTCCTGTGTGAGGATCCCCTATGCAAAACCAGCTTCCTTGTCATACTGAAAACCAGACCAAAAAGCCTAAGCCAATGGTACTTCCTTTCACAGTGGGATTCAAAGGCTTTCAGATCCAACATATGCAGCATATTGTAGAGGTCTGGGGGAGGATATGCTTTCATCTCTGTTGCTGGTTCTTTTTTATATTGATGAAAGACGCTTCTGTGAAAGTCCTGAACATTGAGAGGTTAGGATCTTATCACAGAAAAATGAAAGCTAAACATTACTATAAACCAATAGAAAGCATGAACAGCTCTGAAATGGGAAACAACAGTCTGGCAGTGCCTGTTGTGATTTTTTTTAGCTGAAGCCAAATATATTAAGGCTTTATCTGGACTTGACAGATAATGAGATAACTTGGGGGAAAATGAAACACAGCTGTTTTAGGTATCTGGTTTCTATTAAGAAATATACAGAACAACCATGTGAATGGTCTTCTGGAAGTCATGGTGAGAAGTAATTATTATTTCCACAGGAAAATCTATATCTAAGTGAATAAAATTATTGATTTTGTAATCCATCATTATTATTATTATTGTTTTTATAAGAACTTGAGTTTTGACACAGTTAAAGGTTTCTGCATTGCAGAAAAATAGCAGCTATTTAATTTATCACCTTAAACAGAATATTCTAGTAAAATACTAAATATAACATAAATCTATGCTAAGTCACTAATTTACTCTTCCAAATGTGCAATTTTAATATGCTTCTGACAGTTATTTCAGATTCGCAAAGCATTTTCCAAGAGCTATGAACTCACTTCATACCCTTCCCATATGTTTCAGTACTTTACTCACCCTCATTCTCAGTGTTCCTTTCATGTTCTTTCTTAACTAGAAAATCCATCTTTACTATTACTTGGCTATTTACTATGTTGCGTTCTTGTTGGGTTTTAATTCAAATTATCACAACACCAATTTTAATTTAGTCTCGTGCTTCCTGTCCACAGGTAAAAAGTGCATTAGAAGAACATGTAGTCTGTCATTTCTGTTCCAACAGACTAATCTAATCACTAATTTATTTTTTGTTCTTATCTGAAATTAGGCTACAAATTTGAATGGAAAAAGCTATATGAAAAATGATAATGAGCTGACACTGAACTCTAGCCTGATTTTAATCAGGCTGTCAAAATGAGAAATTATATAGCAACTAAATCTAATGGACTGAAAACACCATTATTCTGACCAATGCAAAAAGAAAATTCATTAGTTAATAAGTTGCTTACTGTAATAAAAACTGTTAGCTTTTTCTCTCCTTTTTAATTCCCACTGCTTTGTAGGTAGCATAGATTCTTTATGTTGCTATTCCTACTGTAACTCCTGTAATAATACAAATACTTAGCTAATCACACCAGGTCTTATTAAAGCAGAGCCAGGTCTGCCTTTCAACAGTTCTTCCTGCCATATAACAATTAAAGCTCTGCTTTTCAAACTGTTGCCACTTTGCGTGAAGTCTGACGCCAAAACTGCCCATTTTCCACACCTTCATGTGAAATAAAAGACATCATAAAAATAATGATGTCTTTCTACATCTTCTTGTTGTCAGCACGATGACGTGGTTTTTACTAAAAAAGTCTTACAGCATTGTTTTAGTGTAATGACATCTAGGTAAAAAGTTACTGTAATATATTTTGTCATTGATATCTCCTATTAATCAATTATTGATTGACAGTCATAACCAAAAAACTGTGTATTAGATGAGAGTGAGTAGGAAGGAGGATGTTCAGAAATAAAGTCACTAACAAATCATTTACACCTGTTTTATGTGCATAGTAATTGTAAATGCATCCCCAGGCACAGGAGTAATGAAGACATACTTACAATTAGATATCTAGTTGTAAAACTGGCAATGTAAATTTTTATTCATGTTTTATTTTAACCATTTTGCAAAAGCATTTTTTTAAACTTAGACCAGTATGTTTTGCATTTGATCTTAACATGGTAGCTGGTGTGTTCATCTGGAGAAATAAACATTCTGTGAAAAATTCTTTCTTTTCAGCTTTTTGGTATTAGCAGGTGCTTGTTTATTCCAAGGGACTGAGTTTCCGAAGCATCTCCTAATTTCCAGCTGTAATGTCAAATTGAAAACAATAGTGATTTTACAAGGCTGTTCCATCAATGTCATGACATCGGTTTCTGTTGATGATTAAGGACAAGAACAGAAATATTATCAAAGAAATTATATTACCACTTAGGGCCTGTAACTATGTGGAACAATTTGTCTTATTAATTCTTTTTCTAAACAGTAGTAGTCTAGAATGAGCTAATCATTAATAATATCTGCAAAATGCATCTAAGGAATCATTTTTACTGGGGTTGAGATTTTTTAGAACTAAATAGCTGCATCATCTTGATCTGTTGCTCCTTCTAAACTATGAAGGTAGACTGACAGGAATTATTTGTATTGGGCAGGTTTATTATGATGAAGTTTAAATCGGTAACATTTGAAGATTCACTTTTTAAGAACTGTGTGTTTGAAGACATTACTTCACTGAACACATACTTCAGGAACTGTACTTTTGTGAATACCACCTTCTACAACACAGGTATTATGAGAAAAAGCCCCAAATGCCCATTGCTCAGCTGCATGTTCTCTTCTTACATTTATAATTTCTGCATTTCTAAGAAGGCATACAAGAGTCGTCTTGTAGGAAATAAAAATCTATAAAAAACAACAAATCTCATGGTGTTACAACAGAGATGTGAAAGGATCACACTGCAAAAGAGATACCACGGACTTAATATTGACTCAGATAATAAACGTCTCTTTGATTTCAATCATCCCTGCTTTACTGGTAAATGATGGGACCGGTGAAATACTTTGTTTATTGTGCTTGCTGTGGCAGGGGAATCTGAGTTCAGGATTCAAAATACCTAATCTATAATTATTCCCACTCTCCTAAATATTGTAACAAAGACATGAATCTGTATTTTCATATGTGGAAACAGAAGACTCTTTTTTTCTGGTTTATTAAAACATAACTGAAACAGAACATGGCCAGCTAAGCTTGTTGGAAATGTGGGGCACTTCTTGCTGCTTTTCCAGCTCTACAGCAATCATAACAGTACAGTAGGTTTCAGAACAAACAATGCCCAGATTTCTTTGTGTGGAAGGAAGATATTCTTAATTTGGGTTTACAAGGCTGACAGGAGAAACAAAAAGTAGAAGTATAGGGAGAGATCTCTGAAATGGTATTGGCAGAAGAATAGCCTTCATAAAGTAACTCATCCATGGGCGACCTTAGGACTATTAGGCCTTCTCAGAAATGAAAATAAGTTTGAACTAAATTCTGTAAGAGTATTTCACTTAAAGAAAGTCAAACCATACTGAACACAATTGGCAGTCTCATCCAAAAGGTTGTTTGATGTGGAAAGAGAAGGTCTGATGCTGAGCAAGACTGACTCATAGAAATTTGCAGATACCCAATGCTTTTTATGCAAGACCAGCTGGTGCTGAAAGGCCTTAACCAAATACACTCCAAACAGGGCTAAAATACAATATAACCCCCTAATTCCAGGCTTTAGTTGCTCTTTTCCATGAGCTTTGCAAATCTTTCTAGTAAGATAAAAAGCTATAAAAATTAACAGCAGTAACTAGTCCCCTCTTACAAAGCAGTGAAACCTCCAAGCTGTCATTAAAGTTGCTTGAACTCGAAATGTTTTTAATCAAAAGCTGCACATGGAGTTGGCTGCTAGCTGAAATGTTTCTTTTTCTTCTTTCCACAGATCTCGAGCAGTATAAATTTGTTGACAGTGAATTGATAAATTGCACATTTTTTCACATCAGGACAGGATGCCAGATTTCTTTTGATGACGACTACAGTGCCTACTGGATATACTTTGTTAATTTCCTGGGAACTTTGGCAGTGTTACCAGGGAATATTGTGTCCGCTCTCCTGATGGATAGAATAGGACGGTTAACGATGCTAGGTAGGGGCTTCACTTTGAAACGGGGAAGAAAATCGAAAGTAACGTGTTCTCTTCAAGGAATTTGGCTCAGAGAAATGCAAAACATTCCTTCTGCAGATACTTCATTTATGTGGCATCATAAGTGCTGTTTTTAAAAGCTCCCAGTTTTGAAACACTAGGAAAAAAAGGTTCTGTGGCCATCTCTGCTATGCCACATTAGTAGTCATTGCTCTTCCATGCTGATATTACAAGACCGTTAGAATGGTAGAATAGTAGAATGGTCTTATTTAGAATGAGATTTTGGAGAGTGATGATCACTGGGTTTATCTTTGCTCCAGCTGAAAGGAAAGCAAGGTGTGCATATGTGACAGTCAGCTAGCAGAGCAAATCCTTGGAAGTGTCAGCAGTTCTTTGCTATCTCTTTTGCAAAGGAACACAGTTGAAAGATATCTCCAGTGGATTGTCTGCAATGAGAAATCTGTTTTCAATTTACTTAAATAACTATGTGATAGTTCATTGTCTTCATTTTCCAGGAGACTATCTCTATATAAATACAATTCCCAGTCAGTGTTTTTATTGCTATAATATATGAACAAGTTTCATGTAATTGCGAAGATGATGAACAAAGAAGAATGGGGACCTTCCCCAAGCAGCTTGCTTTGGGAGTTCATAGAGGGTTCCAGCTTAATACTTCATGACATACCCTAATTTTTGAGGAGTTATGTTTTGTTTTATGAACTCGTTCAGCATTTGTCTTCCTGACTGCTCTTACCAGCAGAGGAAGTCTCTTTAGTTTTTAACTCAGATATTTGTATCACTTATTTAGCTACACTGTGTGTATAGAAACATTAGACAACACAAAGATTATTCTTTAAAAATATTTCCCCTTCATGTTCGTTTCACCTGCCTTGTACCCAGGTGGTTCCATGGTTCTTTCTGGCATCAGCTGTTTTTTCCTGTGGTTTGGGACCAGTGAATCCATGATGATAGGTATGCTGTGCCTCTACAACGGCCTCACCATCTCAGCATGGAACTCTCTAGATGTCATTACTGTGGAGCTGTATCCTACAGACAGAAGGTATGTGCATATACTACATCTCCCCGAATCTCACTGACACTATCTCTATGTACCAGCAGAAATGGCAAATAGAAATGATTACATATCAGCTATGGAAGTATGTTTTTAGTGGACCAAATGAATAATTTTTCTTATGAAAAACAAATGGAGAAAATAACATTTTTTTAGCTATTTGGTATCTATTGTGCATCAAATATCACCTAATCAGAAAAATACCCCTAATGTAGTTTCACATGAAAAAAGAAGGTCTAACTGCTACTTTCACTTAAAACAAAGCTAATGAGTAGTATTTCTGAAAACAGTAATGCGTTTCCCCTAGTTCAGCTGGCTATGAAGGCAGTAATTAGTCCAAACCTGCAATATAACTGCATTTGTGTGCTGATTATAAAATGGTGAGACTCATAAATAAAAATCACTGTCTGAACAATCTGCTAATCAGTCTGCTATGAATTTGCGTGCAGGGCTGCTGAAAGCATACATAGTCAGCATTAAGTGGGTACAAAATTGTCTTAGGCATTGCTTTTGACTCTTCAGGGCTTTTGAAGGAAATTTCAAGACAATGTTCATGTCCTGAAAGCATTACTGCTGTATGACATAGGTTGGCTTGTTTTTTTTCAGATACAGGGTACTTTTTAATCTTGATATTATGTCACTTAATGAAGTGACATAAACTGTTGAGTCATATTCTGTTATATGAGAATATAAAAATGTAAAAGGTGCATTATCTTGAATAGACTGGGATATTTCTCCTCTCTCAACTCCCTTGAAAAAATCTAATGGAAAATTGCCCAGATTCCTGACAAGGGACAGTCTGTCCTTTCTCCTGTTGCAGTGCTACTTCTAATGTCATTCACTGGAAGTTTCCAATGCAGTGAAAAATACTTCTATTATATAAATGTGTGATGCCTTGCTGGCAAGTGTAAATTTTTGGAAAGAGGTGCAACTGACTTTCATATTCTCTGTCAGGAGGGGAAAAGTGTAAACAGGATTCTTTGTTTTCTTTCCATTGGCATTTGAAAAATACATGTTTTTTCAGATAAGAAATTGATGTCCACAGTTATGACTACATTGAATAGAAATTCTGTGCTACATATGAACTCCAAGCACTAAGCTTTAATATTAAGTGCTAGTATTTTTATTACACCTCAGGAAATTTTTCTTCTAGCAAGATTTATTTCATCATCCAAACTCTATGATATAGTTCTAATAAATATCCTGTAGAAATAGCTGTCTTTTTGGTATTCCTGAATGTAGCAGCCACATATATTTTCTTAAAATGAAATCAAGAAAAATAATTGGAAAAGCTATTGATGTTAATGGAAGGAAGAAAAGTCATCATTACTAGGAATGATAAAAAGAGTGTAATTGATACCTTTCTATATATATCTGTACAGATGTTAGGGCATCTGTATTTGTAGGTAGTACTTGTTTTTAATAGTTTCTGCTAGCTTTGGGATTGTAGCAAGTTCTTACCCATTTTTTCTTTTTTTGAAAACCTTGTGTATGCAGGAATAACTTCCTGGAATTTCCCCTCAGAAACTTACTTAAAGCCAAGTTGTTGAGACTTTTTGGCAATAGGTCAGAAAGAAAACTTGTCTCCTTGTATTATCAATACAAAAAGGTCGACAGGCCAAATCTACCTGTGCCAGGAAAGATCTTGTTGACATATACTGTAGATTTTACTTTTTTCCAAAATTTCTGAAAGTGATGGAACCATGACTGCTAGTTTTTGCCAGCTGGCTTATAAGTAAACAACCAGTTCTAGACAGGTTTTTTTAGACTAGAACAAAGGTACTTCAGGTTTTGTACAACAATTTGAAAATCAATACCTTCAGGAACTGAAATAACTTGCTTGCAAGGATTTTTTTACTGGTATTTTTTTATCAAGACCTACCTACCTCTGGTGGTCCTGTCCTTCCCTCCCAGACTCCTCTAATTTCCATAGCTGGGCAAAGCTTGCCAGAGTTTGCTGGGAATTTCCAGCTTCTGCAAGTAACTGTAGGGCTGAACAGCCTTTCCAGATATATATATAAGGGACAAAGCTGCCTGACCTGTTTTTGCATATGAGGTCCTTCATACTTAAGATTATGTCCTCTCTCACTACAAAGCCACATTCAGAGTGAATCTGGTCCTGAAAACAGCTTCCAGTTTCCCCTGTAAAGGCAATCTAGGCACAAAATCTTTGCTCACTCTCCCACTGTTTTACACATTTTCTTACCCCCCGTTAGTGAAATGACCAGAAACAAACAGCAAAGGGTACCTGGAGGTTGGGCTGGAAGCAAAGTGGGTTGAAAGAGGCCAGTCCATGCTACTGTGCACAGGAGACCAGGCTGGATAGCCCCTTCTTTTCCTGCTGCATTACTCCTCTTGGATACCAGCCAGCTGCTGAATTGCTGGGGCTTTGCCAGTGTTGTGCAATGTAATACAAGAGGTGTTTCATATATTGTACTCCTGGTTATTTAGTGATCATACTGGCTTTTTGCCAGATAGAAGTGTGGTGAGTACTTTGGAAATGTACAGTCTATGTGATACAGGGCACATATTTTGGTTTCTTCATTAGCTACCTGCAAGCAGAGTTAAGTTAGCTTCAAAATCTTAACAGATTGGGTTTCTGTATGAATTCACACTTATCTACATACTTATAATTTGGTTTACTAATGCCTGGAATTGAAGTAATTACGTAGTTTGTTCTACTTTCTTGATGAGTAGTTTCATATTTCATGCCATTTTACCTTAATTTGTGCCTTCACGTTCTCCATAAAACTTTGATTGATTTGTACTAGTGCTAACATAAGAGATGTTAGAGGCTGATTTCAAATGATTGTTGGGTAGATGATGAAATTGTTGTAAAATGCGAAATGATGTTACTAATGCTAGTCAAAGGTAGGTTTCTGTCTTCCAGGTGGCACATATGGAACAATGAATAATGGTTGACAATATAATACTATTTTTTAAACCTTTCTATACACAATTTCTAAAGAATACTCTTGATGACTAAGTATGAACTAGCTAATTTCCAATAAGCAAGTAAATTAACCCAGTTTGACAATGTAAAGGCTTGTATTTTGTCTCATCTTTCGTCTTGTCTTTTATCTTATCTTCTTTAAGGGCTCTGCTGTTCTGGACTAATCAGCAGGTTCTGAAGCCTTTGGTCAGTCCTAAAGGCCTCTTAAAAGCCAAACCAAACTATTCCATAGACTGAAGCACTGCTCTGAAGCAGCAATGTTCACAATATCTTGTGAACATTTTTGAGTGCTCCATTTTTTTCATAAACTTCCCATATTTTCCAAACACTGCTTTGAAAAGAGATGATGTAGAAATTGAGGCATCAAGGAAAATTTTATTGTTAAAAGCAACTTTAGTATGTGCATAAGGGGAAAGGAAAACTATAGACTGGGATGTGTGGTGCGAACAATTCCAGTCACTGAGCATTTTAGAAGAAGGAATGGGCTGCAAGTCTAACTTCCACTACAGGATACAAATGTTTACATTTTGGCAACCTAAACCTGACAGTGCTAAGCTAAGCACCCAGAAAATGTGAAATACATGCTTAAGACAATTTAGCTTGAAGTGACTTGCTCGCATTGTATGTGAATTCTGTGGCAGGAATAGGGTTTTATCCTTTCTTCTGACAGCACTCAACTACCTTAACCATGAAACTCTTTCTCATGCTGCAATCCCCAATCTTACTCAGAGATCTCCTTCCAACTTCTGCAGCAGATGAGGGAAACCAAATTTCCCTTTCTACATTTATATTTTACCCTCAAGCTCTCTTTGTTGTCTGCATTGGCAGAGTGATGTGGAAAAAAAATATTGTGTGATGAGGTAATTAGGGCTTGCGTTGTAATGTGTGTGCCCAAGGGGCCTGCAATAACACTGCACAGTTTCCTAGCTCTGCCTGTAATATAAATATGAATTGAAGAGAGTTAAAGTTCTCTGAAGAAGGAACATGAGGATATTTTTATGAATTCAAAGTGCGATTGTTGCTTTCACATAAATGATAAGTATCTTCTCGTGAACTAACTTGGGAAGCACCAACTGTAAAAACCAAGATTCTCATTAGGAAGTTCATACAACAAATAACCAAAACCTAAACAGAAAGTGGAATAGTAATAGATCATCTCCCACAGAATAAATCAAGGTCAGATTGCATCAGATAACCATCAATTCATCATTTTACTACAACTTCCAGACATCTGGGTTTGAATCTTGTCCAGGAATATTTATTTAGAAGTCAAGGTGTGCTATAAAATGAAGTCATCCTCTTTTGCCTTTTTTTACTACCTCTGAAATAAGTTTATAAGTGTTTGGTCATAATTAAGAAATAAGTCTCTGCTCTTCAGTATGTTATATTTAATTTTTTCACTTCTTCTTGATACCTGAGGATCTATCCCCGGAGTAATAAATATTATTCCCAGGGTCCAATTTGTATTGTTGTTGCTGCAGAAGATACTTAACAGCAGTCATCAACTTACAGTACATTTCCTGACAGCTATTTTCTACTGCCATCCTGTGGATGTGGTTCAACTGCATTTTGCTGAAATTTCCTGTTAATATTTTTAAGGTATGACATGCCAAAACTACACAATGCTTCAGGCAGTAGTCCAGGGTAGGAGGGCAGATTCCACAGTATTACTTGTACACTAAGCACTATGATTGGTCAGGCTATGATAAGCATTTTGGTACTCTTTTTCTAAAAGAATATGAAATGTCTGGAAATAGATGAAGATTTGTCCATAGAACATTCTGAATCTCTTTTTAATACTTTACATACTATCAGCTCTAAGAAAAGTGATACACAAATGATTTCTTGTAACTTGTTGGATATGCTCAGCATTCGCCCTGGCAAGAAAGTTAATAGATATTTTTGCTACACATTCAGTAGCACTCCAGGACAGTGAAGTTTTTTGGTACTCTATCAGCAACGGAAAAGTGGATCTGAACTATTTTATGTAGGAATATAAGCACCTGGTCTAAGAAGGAGCATATGTGGCAATCAGGAAACAAGCTCTTTTAATCTAAAGGCTTGGATAATCCCTCTATTTTTAACTGTTTGGACTCTTGCCATTCTTGTGTGGGGCTTGGGTGAAAGGAAGCTAAGCATTTTTCTTTGTCACAGCCTTCCAGCAGCAAAAGTGAAGTACACTGGGGAAAATTCCTTTTCAGTAACATCCAGCTTTCTCTCAGCGCTGACATTTTTATAAAAGACTTCTGCATTTTTCTCGTACCAATACTAAAATCTGTACCTGTTTTTTGTTGATTTGTTTGTTTCTTTGTTTTAAGACAATCTCAAATTGATTCACTAGCATTTTCTTGTTGATGTCCCTGAAGAGTTTAAGGGCATTCTCTCACTGGATAAGGGGTTCTTGCCACTGGTCTCCCTTGAATAGTAATAACGACTATTCATGGAGTCAAAATTACATTTTCGTATAAGTGTTTGCCCAACTTTCTGTTTGATCAACAGAAAGAAATTTGGTATATATACAAATAGCCCTATGCTCTTGGAATTTTCTTTTAATTGGTCCATTATGCTGAGATGACACATTACATATCTTTGATCATTTGCAGGCACTCTAGCACTTTCATGAAACATTGTAGCGGAGACTGTACTAATGCTGCAAGAGACGACTATGGTCATATATTTGTGTGATATATTACAGCATAATGATTTTCTGGCTATTTTTACTCCACTGGATTGAGTAGAATAATTATAGAGGCATGAATTAATAAAGATTTTACCAATTTGAATCATGAACCCTGTTCTAAGAAAGTTGTTTAAACAAGCAAGGAAACTAAATTTGCTATCCCTAGAGCTCAACAATTGCTTGAACACTTTGTTCTGACTACAAGTACACAATAAATTCACATTTAAACACAGTATTAAAATTGAAAGGTAGGAAGGTAGAAGGTTGAAGAGTGACAGTGTTTTTCAGGTACAGGTCTTAACAAATTTTATTTAAGTCTGTAAAAATCTTATTGTTCATGCCAATGATGTGCTTATTTTAGGCAAAAGGACATGCCTGAAATCAGCTTAAAGATTAAAATATTGAACTTCTGCTGTGTTCATTTTGTATCATCAGGACAGCCAAGGGCAATAAAAATGGGCTTATTTTGTCTTACCTTTATTTGTTTACAGTTTGATAGCACTAATGGGATTAGGTTGACAATGACTCCTTCCAATTGGCAAAATTCTGTAAGTCCATTTTACAAACTGAACTGTTTTTTCAGTTCCAAAAGATTACCTTAATTTTGCTCAGACACAGGAGGTATTGAGCAAATATTACACAAAATTACTTTAAGCCTTAATAAGGTAATTTGGGGTATATAATCCATAATAGATCTAAATCAGAGGGGCATCTGTGGAGCCCAGCACATGAAAAGAAATGGTTCAAATTGCTCAGAAAATTATATTCAGATCCCTGTTATAACTAGTTGATTTAAGCAGCTAACATCTGTGAAACAGCTTACCTTTATAAGGTAGTATAAAAAACCCCTAAATATAAGTAAAGCAGCCCCGTATGTTTTGTGCTATTGTTTTTCCAAAGATTTCCTGCCTGTATCTATCCAGATTTGCTTTAGGTGGATCTATGTATTCTTTGGGGAGTTCTGGTATCTCTCTGATTATACTGAGACTTCTGACAACTAGGTGTCTAATTTCTCTAAGTGATCAGTGTTAGGGGTTTTTTTCCTGTTACTGTTATTTGGGGGCAAGTTTGATTTTACATCAGCACTGGCAACTGAAGAAGTCATATTTACATGTGTGGACAGTAATCACAACCAGTCACCACCATCAGTTTTGAAATACTTTCTGTGCATAAATGAGTCTGAAATTAGAACCATTCTGACTCTTTTCTTTTTTTTTCCCTGACTTCTTCAGAATAGCTGCAATCTACTGGTATCCTATCACACAAACTCAGTTTTCCAATCCCGTTGTGTTCTCTTTAACCTCTTTCTACCTGCTTGTGATACAGTCTGTTTTAACACAGCCTTTCCTCTTCATGATACTCCTTCCTACCTGCGTGCTCTGTGCAGCCCTTCAGAAGGACCTCAACAGCTTGGAGAGATGGGCAGAAGAACAGGCTGAAACTCAACAGAGCCAAATGTAGGGTCCCACACCTGGGAAGAATAACTCCCTGCACAAGTACAGGTTCAACCTGCTGGACTAGGATGACCCTTGTAAGCAGGGAGGTTGAACCAGATGATCCACTGTGGTCCCTTTCAGCCTTACCTATTCTGTGATTATGTGAGCCCTAGAAGATGTGTCACTCTGGAGTTCCTTTCCCCCCAGTAGCTACCCACCATCCTGTGTCAGCTTCCTCCAGATATTCTGGACTTTATCTGCCCTTGTAGTGCAAATGTTCCTGCACTAGAGATTTGATTATCTTCTCACAGGCTTTGGAAGATTTCTCTAATAGCATGGGTCTTCGCTGCTTCCCACAGTGTATCTCATGCTCCTGCTTCAGACCAATTCCTCCAAAGGTCATGCTTAGAATGGGCAAGTTTTAACTTGCTCATTCCTCCTCTGAGGAAGGTATTTGCAAACAGCTGCTGCAAGTGTTTCTCTTGTCAGAAATCTTCACAAGCAACACTTCCAAAATTTGCTCATCTGCTGCTCTCTCTGGCAGCCCTCAGGGGTCTGGACTGTTGAGGGTCAGAACATGTCATTTTCAAAATTATTATTTACAAGATAATACCATTGCAATGACCTGTTTATTCTTCCTCAGATATCATCAATACTTAGTGTCATGCAACATCTGGATGGATGTCATGTTTTACACAATGAGGAATGGTGCTTATTTCAGACAAATTAGTAATTTCTTTGCAAAATATGAGGTATTTTAAAGAGATTAAAATAGTGATGTGGTTTGCAAGAGACAAGAGATTCTACCCTCATACAGGTACTTTTGTAAGGACAGTTTTGGAGGGTGGACTTTATTCCTGCATCTATCAATCATGTGGTCATGTCAAAATACAATTTATGAAAATGATAGCAATTTGCATAATACGTCTGTGCGTGGACAATGAAACAATTAAAACACTTTATTTCAGACTACTATAATCACACCACTGCAATACAAAAGCCCACTTGAATCGCTTGTGTCATACTTTGTGTTGGCAATCTATTTCCTTTCCCTTTCCTCCAGAGTTTCTCAGATATCTCTTTTGCACCAAACCAGTTTTTATATGTCCTATCTTCTTTACCTCTAAGACGTAAACCTCCATTATTATTGGAGATGCCATTAGCCTTTTAAAAAAGCATTGGTTCAACATGTGTACCGCTTATCAGAAATGAATTTTTATTTTTTATTTTTATTAAAGGTGATCATCCTTTAATTCTGATGACTTCTTTCCCAGGTCCCCAAGCAGTTCACTTTTGAGAGCTGCTCAATGCATCCATTCTCTCCTAATCGAGCCTTTTAACTCTTACTGAATTTCCATTTGCAAGTCCCCTGTTCTACTCTAGAGCTTCAAACTCACCCGTTCTGTCACTGGTTTCACATTTTGGTCCCTGGGGCAGCAAAATGAGTTTGCCTCAACCAAGTACTGTAGCAGCTGAGCTTTGATTTCACATTATAAATTGATTTCAAGATAAATAGAAGCACAGAATCATTATTGGCATAGACTGTGTAAGATATTGGGGCTGTACTTATTTATTCACACTGAGGATTTGTCTCAAAGGCTTTACTCTTTCACCCGTTTTTTTTTTTTTAATTTTCTTCTGTTTTCTCTTCTAGGGCAACAGGCTTTGGCTTTTTGAATGCACTATGCAAAGCTGCAGCTGTACTTGGAAACCTAATATTCGGTTCCCTTGTTGGTATCACCAAAGCAATCCCTATTCTCCTTGCTTCTACTGTTCTGGTATGTGGAGGTTTGGTAGGACTTCGGCTTCCTGACACAAGAACACAGGTGTTGATGTAACTGGGACAAACATTTACTATTTATTTCCTTCTTTGTACAAATGTCAACTCTCCTGACCAGTGGTGCAAAGGCTTCAGATTCTCAACACAGAGTAGAGTGCTCAAATGTCAGAAATTAAACTCAAAAGATACTTTGGAGTAGCAGAGATTTAGAAACCTCTGTCTGGAAATTTAAATTTCACTTTTGTTTGCTTGCATACAATAATGTTCAAAACCATTTAACTTTGAACTCAAAGCTACCTCTTAAAACAGTTTTGGTGACATATCCAGGAAGGTAAAAAACATACTGATTACCAGATATTTAAAATTAAAGCAGTCACATTATTTAAAAAACACATGCTAAATTTGGCCATGGCATTGTGAGGTTTTGTAATGTACAGGCGTGCAAGTCAATTATTTAGCAGTATTGGTGCAGAGAACGTTAATGTATCAATGCATGCAGCATTTATCAGGAAACTCTACACTGAGAACATTGATCTTCTGCAGCTGTGCATAGGTGGTAAAAACTTGTGGCAACAAATTTTGGTAAACATTTTCAGACAGTTTCAATCTGAAGTAAAGATCACCAACTACACCCCATATTGACTGAGGAGAAGGCACCAACTACTGCAGGGAATTTAAAAGTCCGTATAGGTATGCAGTGAAGAGAATAACAAAATGAACCTTTTCACTCTTTGCTGCTAATCCTTCGGAAAAATTTTGTTTTATTCTGACTTTTGGTATCTGAAGAATCAGGCCAGTGAACTACATGGTAAGTAAGATACTTTCAGAAGTTTGTTTGATATTTATATATATATCAACACCTTTATTTGTTCATAGTTTGTACACTTCTTAATATAACCATTTTCTCAGCTAATTTTTAATAGTTCTAGAGTTGTCTTACCATTTAATACTTTCAAGCGTCTCTCTGAAAGGCCATTCAGAAAGAAGCCATGGCAAGGCTGTAGGGAGTGGTAATGTTTTTATTAGACCAAGAGCATGGATGGAGAGTAAATGGCAGTAAACCCATTCCTTCTGTGCTGTAGACTGTTATGAAATACAGTAAAGTTACCCATCAGTCCTTATGCTATGCAAAAGGTTATGGAATCTGTTTAAAATGTTAGCATTAAAAATTTAATACATATACATTTATATGAAGTTATCAAAGAGGCAGATCCTCTGATGGCAGAAACTGGCTTTGCTTTCAATAGAGCTAAGACAATATATAACAGCTGATGAACTATCTGCAGTTTCAAGTGTAAAATAATAAATTTGCTATACAGCTTACAGAAAAATTAATCAGTATTTTTTTTTTGTAATTATGCCTGACAACAATTATTAGGTATATGAATTGTTGCCAAAGAAATTAGGCTTTCAGATAATGTTATTGTGTTGTAAAATGATTTTTTTTCATTAGTTTTTCCTCTACTCTTACATGTGAACTTAGATTTGGGTACTACTACCTATCACTGCATTCTGTATCAGTCATTGTCTTTGCCATATTAAAGGAGTCAGTAAAAGTCTACATAAAAAGATCACTGAATACATTTAAAGTTCACTGTTTAATCTACTGATTTTCGGAGAGTCATTTTCAGTTACTAACATATGCTTGTGCTACATATTGTAGTATAAAAAATGTTAGCCCAAGGTGTGGTTTTCTGCTATTAAATTAGAAAAGAGTCAGAATTAAAAAAGCATGAATATGGAAAACTAGGAGGCATTATTTTCATAGTGATAATTTAAATATATTATAGTAAGAAACGGGTTCGATTCCCGGTCAGGGCCACTCCCGGGCAGGTGGAGCTCGTTAACCCTGTAAAAAGGCAACCCATCTACGTCCTAAGGACCTCGCTGCCACCGTCCAAGCTCGCTCGGCCCCGGCAGATGAACCTTAGGATTAAAGGGTGGGCTCAGTTCCGCGCACACTGTGTCTCACCTAAAAAATCCAATGCACAGGCTGGAAGGTGTAAAGACCTTCCCCGGATCTTTGCTCGCGAAGACTGGCCATTATTATTAGTAAGAAAAAAATATAGGAAATGTGGTTTTTTTGAGTTTTAGTTTTGAATGTTTTGAATGTTTTATTTATGAAATGTTTATTTTGGAGTATTAACATTTGAGATATTTGAGATGAAATATTTTATGTTTAAATCTGACTTAAACACATCTTTTAAATTTCTAGACTATGCTAAAAAAGGAGGAAGAATAATTTTTTACTGAATTCTAGGATAAGAACAAAATCCTGGCTTTATTTTCACATGTATGGCTTTTGTCCACTAGTCACAGCCTTAGTATTATTTCAAGGCTGTTTTCTGCAATGCGTATTGTATTTAAGCCCTATTTCTCTGTGCCATTCATTAGTAGCACCTGTTCACATCCTTTTACTTACTGCATAAGTTATTTTGAAATCTGAAGCCTCTGTACATATTTGGAGTAAATATTCACAGCAATGGTAAAGTATTGCATTGTGTTGCTATGCACTGTCCTTTTGCGGTAATATATTCTACCCATCTCTGCATGTAATTCCCAAAAACATTCAGATACACTTCATACCACCTGACCAGCTTGGAGGAAATGGGCCACAGAAGAATAAGGTTCAGGTTTTGAGTGATATGGTTCAAATTAACACTCTAAAATCTCATTACATGTAAAACTACGTCAATTTCAATGCTGTTTTTTATTCTAAATCCTGACTATGTCATGGGTATGTGCTTAAGTCTGGATGAAATGGAATATAGCAATAATAGAAATTCGTAAAGGTTAAAAAATTCAGGACTATGGAGACCTTGCATGGTCCAGAATTAAGTGAATGTTCTAAGGTGGGGGGGGATGGGGGGAAAGAGGAATAGTGAGTAGGAACTGGGTGGAAAAGTAAATGGAAGAGATGAACAAAGAAAAAAATTCCACCAACATTTCCAACATATGAAACAAAACCTAAAGTTAGAATTTCCCTAGGTGATGAGCTAATTGACTCAACAGATTTGAACTAGTGTGCAAGCCAGGATCAAGGTTGTTTGAACAATCAATAGTTTTTGCTTGAGTGCAGTAAAGATTTATCTCACAAAGACAAAAGAAGTGAATGCACCTTCGTGCTATAAATAACTTGGTGAGATGGGTGCAATCCACAGACTTGATCAGAAATCCTTAATTTATGGAGATCTGGACACAAATGATATATTATAAACAAAAGTAATTTGATCAATCTTTAGTGAATCTGTCTTTTCTTGCAGTCTCACAAGCAATCTCAGGTAATAAATACTGGACGGTAGAAATAGCACTTCCTTTCTATGGCTATTCACTTATATGTCAAACAAAGAATCACTTAGTGGCCTATTTATACTCCTTATACACCAGAGAGAATCAAACTTGATAGCATTTGTATATCACAAATATAAGACATATGTAATCAAGACTGCTCATTTGTCTGTTTTGGTCACAAAACTGACTGCTAACTGAAAATCCCTGTCAGTCTAAACTGAAGTAGGATATATTGTCTAGTATTATCCTATACAGCTGATAACTCATCCCAGCAACAGCAATGACAAAAACTACAATGGCCTCTGAAAACAGAGAAGACTGACAGTATTTAGAATACTATCAACTATGATGATCAACTAGTTTGAAATTTGAAAGCTACCCAAGAAAGACCACATGTTATCATTTTTGGCAAAGAAATTTTATTTGAATTAGTTTTACTCCTTAGAGGTTCTGTAACAGTAGCGTTTGACTTAGCAGACTCTTATTTCTTGAAAGCAGTGTTATGTTTGTACGTTTTAACCAGATTGGCTATATCCTTGTTTGCACCTTGTTGCTTAGAAGCATGCACTACAACATTTGGTGTGCATTACATTGGCTGCTGAGTGCAAGCCCCTAGCAAGGGAACCAAGAGTAGGTGTAAATGGTGGAATGCTGAAAAGGATTGATAATGAATGATGTACTTGGAAATCTTCTTCCCCTATGCGTGATTATAACCCTTGATAATCCCCTTACAAAGTTGTGTACTACAGGGCTTGGACACTGGTGAAAAAGAGTTAGCCCTCCTACTTGATGGCTCCTCTAGTCTACTCCTCCTTTATCATCTTGAGAAAGTGGGGCAAAGTTAAGATTGCTAGCTCAAGCTCTGCTCACCTTCTCTTCATGCCATTCCATTCATTACATCCCAAATTACTTTTCTTACTAGAGAACCAATATTAAAGTCACAACTCTCTCCTTGTGTTCTCACCAGCTTCTGACTTCCTAGTAACATTCAGTAAGAAGTTTTGTTGCATATCTTTTGCAATTCAGCCATATCTTTTTAAAACAATGTAGAAAGCAACCACAGAAGTCCTTCTGTGAATACTATCCTTTTGAGGCAGTCAGATTCCACTACATATCCATTCCAGTTCCCTACATATCCAGAAGACTGACTTGATATGAGGAGAGGTCTCCTCTCAGAATGGTCCCTCTTGAGGTCCTGCTGTGGGTACAGATATGGGGGAATCTGCTTGTCTGTGCACCCAGCTCAGCCCCATTTGGAGGAAATATTAATCTGTATTCTTTTTTTCTTTTCCTACCACTATGGAGCCCTATCTTCATCTAACTGCTCTTGAGACACAACTGCTGATTCCAATACTTAGCAAAGTAATATAGTACTCAGCCCCTCATATGGACAACCTACATGTCCTGGGCTTTAACTCTCTTTCACATTGTGAGTGTTAAATTAATCTTTGTTAGTCAGAGAAAGATGTTTACATCCAGTCACACCTCTTTACCTAAATAAGATGATATCATGCTAATACAATGAACAAGCCATGTTTCCTGTTTAATAACCTGGAAATGCAATTGAAATTTCAATCACAATGTTAAAAATGAATCCTTGCACTCAGGGGGTCAAAGACACAAGAAGTGAAAACAGAAATGCTCCACTTCCTCTGGTGTTTTGAAAGAAAACACATGTTCAGTAATCATATTCCAGAAGAAAACGTATCTGAGAAACTGCTTTTACTCTGTATTTCCTGCCTTCTTGTTCATTAAACTTACTGTAAAATATTAGGTATTTGCCTGCATTAGTACTTTCCAATGCTGCTATTCCAGGAACGAAAATACAGACTTTTGCCTGCAGTTTTAAGGTAAGACAGGTATCGGGCAGTCATGTGGAATTAGAAGAGACATGTTAGCCAGAAAATCTGGAACGCAGTTCAAAACCTGAATCAAATAAAATGCTTCAATTTATAATGCCACTTGCAGATCTCTCTTGCCTTCACTTAACCTCACGCAGTCTACAACCAGACCATCAGCCCCATTTGCTTTCTTTTAATGTCAGTAATTTCAACCAAGTGTTGCAAAATACTTTTGAATCCACTATCACCATCTGCATTCTTTTTTTTTTTTTTTTTTTTTTTGTAGTGGTAAATTCCATACTTCTTCCTGCAAAAGAAGACTCCTTTAACATTTAGTCTACCTAAATGTATAAAATTACTACACAGAACTCCATCCACATTCAGGACCTGTCTTTGATGCGGTGACTTAGCATGTCAAAAGCAGGAATAAGACAAATTGGGCCTTTTCTTATTTAATAATATGTTGAATTATCTACAAAGATTCTGGCCTATAATACATAACTCTGCTTTCTAGTTTGAGTACATCCTGTGCAGCTAAAAATTAACAAAGCAGTAATTTTTGGCAGTCTTTTCCCACAAGATGCACACAATCTGCATTTACTAGGGAAATGCATAGGGAAGAATACAGTGCAATTGCTTCATGGTGTAAACAATCTAAGCTGCTTGACAAAGGTCTAGAACATATTGCTCACTTCTAACCAGTACAGAGTTCAATAACCAAAGATTTGAGAATACTTAACAACAAAAGCATTTGGATGAGGTTGACCTGACACAAAAGTATTGTTCTTTCCACCCAGGCTTTTCATGAATGTACATTTTAATGCCATGTAACCAAGAAGATTTGTAGAGACCTTACCCCCTCTCTGGCCATCAACACATCTGAGTTGTAGCCAGACACATCAGTCCACAAGTGAGAAAGAAAGTGAGAAAGAAAGAGAGCTGGCAGGCTGGCTTTCAGCACTCTCTCCACAGCAAGCCACCTAAGCTCATTTTGCTTAGATCCCAAGGATCTGCTTTTTTGCTTAGCTTCCTACTTTCTAATTTTGGCATTCAGTTTTCACCAGTAGTCCTGACCAAAAAATCTGAAACCAATTGCTGCTAAAGGACAGCACTCATAACTCACTGCAAGCACAGTACTCTGCAGGAGTCCAATGTCTTATGTGTTGTTCCAGTTTCATTTGTTGTTTAGAGCTAGAGTTGTCAGCTAGCATTTCTCTCTTACAATACTGCATGTATTCTTACCTATAAGACATGTTTTATATCCTCTTAATGTCTGCCTTGTAAATATATGCTTGTCCCCTCCCTGGCTGTGTGGTAAAAGTAATTTGTGAATCTTACATAGGTCTGTCTTCCCCAGTTAAAAGATGATCCTTCAAAAGAAGAAGGTCAGGAAAAATAATGAAATGGAATCAAATTAAATGCAAATCATGAAAAGTAAGAAATCAAGATGTAACCTGCAATTACTTTTGTTTTCTCAGATGTTTTCTTTAAATCCTAGCCTGCAGCTATATAATATTGGATATTTTAAAAAAGTATTACAGTTAGAGGTGAATACATATACAGATACACATGTGGGTAAGTATACACACATATGTACACACTCACTTCTCTATAACACAGGTGGATATAAGACTTAAAACCATGTTCTCATCTCGTTCTCTATGACAGATTTACATTCTGCATTGTGCATTATGCTTTGAACAAAAGTAACATTCTGCTCCGTTCCTTGTGCAGAAACCTTTTCTTAACTGTGCAAAATTCTTGGGATGCAAAGATTCATCTCAGCTGGCCATTAGCTTTCAGACATTGGAAGGGAATTCCTGAGATGGTCTGAAAAATGAGCTTTGACTTAGCTGTTGCCTTCCCCTGCCTGCCCAGCCCACCCTACTCCCCGCCACACTGTGCCAAACAACAAAACAGCATGCAGAGGCACTGATTGTATTCCAGTGACTAGGAGACACAGCGCTCTCAGATACATAAACTCCTAAAAGCTATGACTTTTGTCTTATTCAACCGAAAGGCCTTCAAAATGGTCCATGGGGATATCAACATGCTAACTTCTGTGTAATGTATGAGAAAATGTCTGTGATTTCCTGTATTGTATGTTTTTCATTGTTTCTGCATACGTAGTTGAAGTCGTTCTAGTGAAGTGATTAAAAAATTATTTGCTAATGTTCTTATCAGCAATCTTCAACCAGCCTGAAACAGAGCCATTGCCAGGGTGTCTTTCAATCAATGATTAACACCCATGAATATCTTCTACAGTAATTAGTGCCATATAAAGTCATGGTGGCTATAATTCAAGCACATTAAGCATGAAAATATCAGCACATGCACACAGACCACACAGTGATGGCGGAAAGAGATCTTTCAAAAGGTCTGGCATTTCCTGCATTGCTTCTTCCCTCTTTGAAGGATGCTCACTCTTTGCAGTGTGCTTCCTCTGGTAGAGGACATGCTACAGAAGTAAGAAAGCAGAAGAAAGGGTTTATTCCTTCTAAAGGAAGGAATGTATATTTGCTATAGGAAAGCCAACTCTATAATAAGATTAAAACAAACCAACCAAACAACCAAGCAGCTTGCTATTCTTTTTTATTCCCATGTGTTGTATGAGTTGATAAACTGAATACCAGTCTATACTAAACCTTTGGGAGGAGACTAAGAAAGGATAGCAATGCTTATGTGATAATATTTTCAGAAAGTAGGAGAACTTTACAAGGAGAAAATACATATTCAGTGTATGAGGCCATAGCATATAGATTTTAATTGTGATTATGAACTGACAGTTTTAAGTAGAAAATTGTCATTCACATCTACAGTAGCAGTAGATAATATTACCTTCTATGTGGCAATGACAATTAAATTGTGTCTCATACTGGGCTTCAAATATATGTAAGAATACCATATACGTAATTAGATATTTTTTAAGTGGGCAGTTTCCACTGCAGTGTAGTGTCATATATGCAAAAGTTGGGTATAAAGGATGAGGTACAGAAAGGTGAGTTTTTTGCCTTCACTGCACTTTACTGGCATTGTCAGGTTACTGATTTTCTTTGTTAGTGTTTTCTAATGCTAAGCAACAGGAGAAAAACATGTTCTTTCCTAGGTTTTTTGTGGTTATCTTCTGTTTGCAGGTTCCCCTTCTAAGCTTCCACTCAAATTTCCAACTGCTCTGAGCCAACTGGCAATACAATTTTTCAAACAGTCTTCATTACACAAACACACAGGTACTTTAGTGTGCACATGTTATCAAGAAAATCATAACCATGTCTGACAGTCTCCATGTCTCAGTGCAAGGTAACATGTACATATTGTATATACGGGTAACAAGCTACTTTGAAGTTGAATTGTCATTTATACAGGGGAATTCAACTTCAGATCTGCTAATCTGCAGCAAGATCTTGGCAATGGTCCTGACTTCGCTCTTTCTTTCTTTGTTACCTTTACTGCTCTGTGTGATCTCCTGTAGAGCAAGTTACAGTCATCACTATTTATATATGTGTTTGCATGTGTGTGCCTTGATAAATCCTCTCTTTCAGAGTTCTGAATTTTTCATTTCAAGTCCAGCTGGTACAATTGTGAACTCATCTTTCCAGTATCCTCCTCTGTGTCAGATTGCCAGCTTCCAAAATGTTTGACCAAGTGTTTTTGATTAAGTCCCCTGAGGAAAGCTATCTGTTTATTTGTGAAAGGGCATGCTCTGTGTAGGATGACTGTGTACAGTATAAATCTATACAATGTGGAAGTGTTTATAAATTTATCTGCAAAATATTTATCATCTGTGTAACAAATGCAAAGTTATTTAGTGTACATCAGATTAATAAATGGGGATGATTTTTTGCTCTGCTATATTAAAATAAAGATTTGTTCTCTGCAATGAACACATGCCAGGTGTGATGATAGCCAGAACATTGTTCTTCTCTATCCACAAAATACTACACTACCCACCATACAAAACCCCAGTTGTTTTACCTTGTAATAGAGATTGAATATGCAGTAAAAGTAAACATGGAACAAGTTAATAAAATTAAATTAATTTAAATGAGTGTTAAAAAAAGAAAGAGTAAGAGTTACTATATTTGCAAGAGGCAAAGCTCTTTTGTTAGCCATCTGGGATGCATATTTTTATGGTACACAACTACACAAAATGGGCACATGGCCTTTCACTACACAACTGCTCTGCAGGAGTGCATTATCACCCAAAGGGTCTAATCTAACTCTATGTGAAAAGCATCCTGCAGCAAGGTATGATAATCCATGCATCTGAAAGTTCCAGAAGAACTTAGTATTCACAGGAAAAAACAAACAAACCAATCAAACAAACAAAAAACCACCACACACACAACCAAAAAACAACACAGAAACTCCCAAAACTGAAGCAGTACAGCAACAATATTAAGTTCATTGCATTTGTGCAGTAGGGACTTCCAAAAAGCGTCAACAGATGAAATGTGGTAGCTTTAAAGTAACAAAAAAATGCTGAGTTATTTATATTCTAACATTTCCCTGCCTGGATCAAAAACACATTTCCAAATATAGGTCATTCCAAACAGATGATGGACTAAACAAAACACATGAGCCCCTTTAGCTGTGTCACCAACAAGGAAAAGTTAAGCTACATGCGAATTGAATTGTTTTTTTCAGCTCATGCAAGAGTACTGTCTACAAAACCCAGTGCTGAAGGGCATACATGATTTTGTGATTGTCCTTTGGTAACAGGAGTTTTTTGTGTTACAGTACAGAAAAAACCCTTTTATTTATTAAGTAAAAACAGTGGAAGTACTAATTCATCTCTTAAGTCTCCTTAGATGTACATCCTCATCTACCTGTATTTGAAGGGTGCACTGCTCTCATCCTCTACTTAAGATGTGTCTTTTCGTTCTGGGAAAAAAATACTGTTCTTATCTTCTGTTGTTTTGTGCAGAAGATAGGACAAAACTCCAAAAGGGAGTGTGTGCAAAGATTGGCAGATAGTCTTCACAGTTACCTTTCAGAAACTTCACCTAATCTCTACATCACATCTAGAAAACCTTCAGTACCAGGGAATCTTGTGTTGGAGCACATCATCCTCCAAAAAAGACCACTTTACTTGTAGGGCACCATTCCTCCAAGAGAATTTTGGAAGAAGACATGTACACACTCCTGGCTGTGAAAACTATGCTATCAAAATGGTGATGCTTAATTCATAGCACTCTGTTTGTGTGTGTCTGTCTACATATTGTGCAAGATGATACAAGTGCATAGAGACTGAGGATGCAAATGTAAGAATAGGAGGCATTTTGTGTTATCAAAATGTCACCTGAGAACAGATGTTAAATTAGATCATGTAAATCATCCATATGCTTTGCTTTCCAATAGGATACAAGCTAGGCTATAATTAGTATTTAATCCATAGAAATTGTAAAGCTATATAGGTGATGTATTTGGCTTATATGAGATCAGTATCTAACCTGAATGCTCCCCTTCCAATTTAGTAATCTCTGGACCTTTTCAATACACTTTTCGTTGGCAGCAGAGATAAGAAACATTGGCTGAAAATTCCTTATAGACTTTCCTAAAAATACTAAGCTAAACTGAAAATCATACCATTCTGTATGTTTTCTGATGTCACCATTTGTAAAATTTCACAATATAGGTTAATGCACTCTCTGCAGATGCATTTCACATCAGGTTATTTCTGGTTATCAGAGTAACTGGTAACCTAACTTGTCTGATTAGGACTTCAGTGATGATTTTGTGTTACTATTGCAGACTGAAATTGTACATGCTAAAAACTTAGGGGGAATAAATGCCTGAACAAACTACAACTGAAAATGCCTATACTAATCAATGCAGACAATGTTTCCACGTTTGAAAATGTGTCAGCGATATCAGTTCTTGGGTAAATCCTGTTGCCCTTTAGGAAAGCCAGGCTGTGGCATTTCTAGTCACAGAATGAGAAATTGTCGAAGTATTCCTCAAACACACTGTTCAGTACTGGAAAGGTAAGTATTTAAGAATCATTAGCTACAAGAATGAAGTGTGAAATACCTTCCATAAAAACTTAAAATGTTGCTTGGATATCCAGATAATTTGGCTGAATTTTGACCAAATGCAGCCTAGGCCACAGGTCTGATCTTCATTCTCCTCTAAAGTGCAAAGAGCACTTTAAAAAGTTTCATGGTGATGCAGAGTTGGATTATTGCAGGACAACAGTGTTTTTGCTGGCGGTTACAGTAGACCTAAACTGTGCATTTTACAACAGATTGTTTATAATTCATTTAATTGTGTTTTGTGCCCATACAGACTACAGGTAGTTAACCCCAGTACTCTCAGGAGGTTCCTGACTTGAAATAAAGACGTCCTTTGCTTTGCAGTTAGACTGGACTTCACAGAGACTAGGAATGACAAATCAGATAAAACTAAGAGTAATCCATCTTCTGAAGTGGAAGTGAAGCCATTGGTAGACTCTTATGTTTTCTACATCATTTAGCTTTGAGTCTCTGTCCTTCCACATGCTCCCCCAAGGACCTCCTCGCAGCCTCCAGGTTCTGCCTAGAAAGAGCATTGCAGCATTGGTGGTAGAATTAGATTATCTGAAAGGCAATCCTCCTGTTATATAAGATTACATATCAGTTAGGATCTTTTTTTCCCAGGTTTATTTCTCATCCAACAGTTCTGGACCCTTCTTGAACTGCTGTCTATGAATATGTTGCCCCCTCCCTCCAATTCCATCCATAAGGAGTTACAGAAATTACTGTTTTGATAATGTTCAGTAAAATTATATGAAAAAAAAGCTCAATCTGCTTAAGAGCAATGACTTAGCATCTGAATTATCAGTATGCAGGAAGAGTTTGACTTTGTCCTTTCAGCCTTTAGTTAAAATCAGGTTTTAAAGTTTAAATAAAATAGTGACTCTCTTCAGGAAAAAAAAAAAAAAAAAGAAGTCGTCACCAGCTGTTAGTAAAGACATTGAAGTAGAACCAAGGAGCATTAAGATATTGATATACTTTTGAATCACAGTAATGTCAGTATTACATTGTTAGTGTGACTAACCATTTAGTAGGGAAGTCATAATGTGTTTTTTTATATATAAAAGTCATAATTATTAAAGACAGGAATACCAGGACATATGGAGCCCAATTCCCAGGGTAAAACCCTGGACTTTGCCTGCCAAAAGCATATCGGAACTGTTGACTGAACATAAACCAAAAGAAAAAAAAAGGTGGGTAAAAACATCCATCTGTTTAAGAAGTCATCTGTAATTAAATATATTACTTTGTATTGTTATTGTTACATGAATATTGAAACCGAGGAAAACTATCTGTACATGGTGACATGGGACTTCCTTCTGTGGAAACACTGACCATATCAGGGGAGCATATTTTACCATCAGTAATCTGGTTATAGGAAATAAACGGATGAACACCAAAACAGTGTAATTGCCAAACTGACCTACAGGTGGAGTAGGAAAAATAACTAATGGAAAGGAACAGGAAAGACCTTATTAATAAAGCTCACACAGGGTTTCAGCTGTCACTGCTCAGCTGCAGACTGAGATCCTTGCTTGCCCAGGTACCACACACCTTGTGAGATGGGTGAACAGAGACTTGCTCATTTCCACCACATGTTTTGGTGGGACAGGTCTTGAGTGGAGGGTGGCTCTGAGCCTCTCTGCAAGTGGTGCTGCCATAATCCAATGAGCTAGTGTCAGGATACCAGTGCTCCCCAACCTACCCAAGCTTCTGAGTAATTTTTACCTGCTCATTTTTCACATGCTCATTGTAATGCTACAGACACAACGGATTTGGGATCTGGTTATCTGAGGAATACCCTTTTTCCCTTAGAAAAACAACAAAGACACTTCCAGGAGTGTAATTCAAACTGAAGCCATTTTGATTTAAATAAGAGGAGGCTGCTGACACTGTTCCCTGTGAAGGGTCCTGGATGCTGGGATTAGCTGAGCCTCCTGGAGCCAGAATTTGTCAGTCTTTTAGACATGTTCTTCATTTTTTTTACACTAATGTGAATAATGAGGAGCTTTTCAAAAAGCTGGAGCCATGCCAGTGGAAAAGTGATGGAAATAAGAAGACCAGAATTAGTCTGGTGGAAATCCGTGGGAGTTCAGCCTGTGTTTTATCCGTGGGGCAACTGTTGGCAGGCAAGAAATAGTTGTAGGGTTGCCTTAGCTGTCACTCAGTACACTGTAAATGCAAAGCTCCTAGCTTTGTGCCTCAAGAGTAATAAATAAATAAAACATTAATGAGTGAATAATGCATAGACTTTTAGTGGAGTGGAAACATTGCTAAGCACATGCAATCACAAAGAAACACACAGATGCTGTATTACAAAACCAAAAAAATGCCACTCAAAAACCCATAAAAATTCCCCCTAAAAGAAACACCACCACCGGCAGGCCAATTATCACTTGTGGATAGCATGTGAAGAAACAAGATTTTATTTTTGCTACATCCAGCTCAATAAAGAATGCTTTTTTGCTGAGTCTGTGAGCTTCAGCTGGCCATAGATGTTCCCTGCTTTCAAACAGTTCTGAATTCATTTTTATGGTTATTCATTATGTCTAGATATGGAGGGTCACTCCACTCTGAAGTACTCTGTTAAATGCATAAATATTTATTCCAAGAGACAAATGGAGAAAGTTCTTTTCTGGCAGGGTGCTTGCAGAAAGATTTTCACCCGTCTTGCTACACTCACGCCACTTTTGCAGGAACTAGGGCATCGGTCCAAGACATTTTGAACAAATACTTCCTTTTTTTTTTTTTTTTTTTTTAAAACCTGTTCAAGCAGAGAAACTGGTTTCTTAGGTACCTTGACGGAAAGGATTTAACAGAGTCTTACCAGAATGGAAAAAACAGAGGGAGACCTGATAGATAGGAAAAGGCATA